GAATATTACATTCGGGTACAACAATTGGACGCAGAGCTGAAAACAAATTTGGGTATCAATTCATTAGATTCAATAACTAGACCTAATAAAAATGTTACTGCAGGATTGCCTTTGTCGCCTTTGGAATCAATGTTGAACAAAGCTCAGGTTTTTCGTGGTTTCTTTGTAACGTTCGAATGATTGTGATTCAGGATTCCAACTCTTTATTTCATTTCGGGGAATCATATAGTCGACACTTGATCGGGCCATTTCACAAGATCAGCAAAAGAATGATCAGGAGGCGTTGGATTTATACATCGAGGCTGTAGAATTGTTCATAAAAGCAAGAAATGGTTGGTTGACTGAGTACTATTATTAAGTAATTCAGAAGTTTTGTGGTTTGAGAATTGCACCAACAATATTTATTCATTAGAAACGCAGGATGAATCATTTAAGTCAGGATTGAACATCAAGATCAAGCAATTACTTGATCGTGCTGAAGATTTGAAAGGGCTTCCAGCCAAGCCAAGGCAAACATTACGTATGCACTCAGAGCTTACAAGTTACAGTTCTCACGACTACTTAAATAATGAAATCTTAAATACAACAATCTTCAATTAGCCGTACAGTCAGCTAGTCCTAGAAAATTGCCTACATTTACGTCATTGCATTCAAAACTTACCGCTAAAGAAATAGAGGTTCTCAAGAATTCTTCATATATTAACGATAAAGTTTTTCTGCCATGGTTGGAAATTGATCTACAAGAAAAGTTTGAATATGACGAACCTTTCATGTATGTCACCTGATTATGTGTGTTATGTGTGGACTTAATAATCTTATTAGGCTACCTAAACTAGTTTTCAAATTGCAGAGACCCGGACGGGACGCTGCCCCTATCCAATTATCAAATGGCCAATTTCGATTCTTGGAAACGCCCCTCTGAATTTATGGATAAACCAAAGATGATTGCAATGATCTCTAGCGAAACCATTCGACAGGTTAAAATTTTTTCTATATAAATTTTATTTTGTTTTAATCTGTTTTTAATATTATAACAATTTAACTAAATTTAAATATTAATTTAACTAATTAAATATACTGTATATTGAAACTATAAATTATTTATAAAAACAATAAACTCTATAGCCAGGTAAATTAAAACTTTAAATTCTTTTTTCTGATAACTTATAAAACATTACTATTATACTGTATTATAACTGTATTATAGGCTTATAGATTTATTTATATAAATTTTTATATTGTAATATATTTTTTTAAATACTGTATCAAATAAATACAACAAACACGTGTTGATTTTAAATTATATATTTAAAAATCCATAAATAATTATTATTTAAAAATTTATACTGTATATACAATTATACTGTATATTGTGATTAATGCTTCACAAGTTAGATCACAAGATATTGATTCAACTCTAGGTGAAGGTGGTTGAATAGAATTAATATGGTATCTGACATCGTAACCAATTATGTGCTATTTCTCATAAGAAGCTATTTACATGCTGATTTGATAAGGTATTGAAATTGTGATTTTTCGTTAAGGTGTTGTAGCGTAACGATCGTTTGGTTGGTGCATGATGATCGTTGTGAAGTCACTTCATATATAGGTTGTGCAGGTCCCCTGTATATGTTGTACCCAATAGGCCGAATTCGACTCATCAGGATTTTCTAGTTTGGAGCTATCCCAATCCGATACTTGCTTAAAAGAAGTGGTCTGTAGGAAAGATCTATCGAAGCCACAGGTGGTGACAAGGAGCAAGTATTCCCTCTGAGAATCCAAACAAAAAGTATTGGGGTATCCAGAAATTCTAATCAACCTCTGCGGAATAGATATAAGGCCTCAAGACCAGGTTATAGGTTAAATAGTTTAAACTAGTGGTAGGAATTCCCCTTCTATAAAAATCCTATCTGATGTGTTGGATCCACCTTTGGTATATAATTCTTATAGTTGGGTTTAAAGATGGATGGTAAGCTATTACTCAGACAAAGCAGTGTTAGTTACAGTTAGAACTGTTATCAGACACAATTGATATAAATCAGCAATTGTTCCAATTATAAAAGACACTTGATGTATTTCTATATATGAAAGTATCAATAAAGATCTGCATCATTGCCTGTTCATCTAAAAAAAAAAAAACAATTATATTGTATATTGAAATTTGAAATTTCAAAAAAATCGATATTCATATTTAGATTGAAATTAAATGTATCTATTACACACAGTATAATAATTAATATAATCTTAAAATACTATATATTAAAAATACTATATATTAAAAATACCAATTGAATTATATTATTGATGATTTTTTCCAACGAAATTATTAAAATCTTTCAATTGTATTGTATTTGAAAAAACAAATTATCATTTTTTCTTTACTGAAATTTTCAATATAATAGAATAATATGTATTGTATTTATCAAGTAACCACAAAAAAATTTTTTATAATAAATCTTTTTAACATTATACAATATCATTAAGTTATAACAATGTTTTTAAGAATACAATGACGTTATCGATGAAAGAGATAAATCCATTATCTTTTTTATATTGGCACCATTTTGATGGAAATACGTAAATTGCAAGAATTACAATGTTTGCGTAATTGGGAGAATGCGAATAAAGTATGATGATGCAATGTGTAGAGGATTTTATGTTCTTTTATGATTTCACGTTCTGAAATTAAATATTGACACTCTAAGAGTCAATAAATCTACAG